CTTTAGACTGAATTGTTTTATGGATCTTTGTGGGAGGTGTATTTACATTATTTTAATATTAATTATTATAACAAGTATAAAATATAAAAATTTTATACTTCTTAGAGTCCGATTTATTGGAATGACACAGAAACATAAATAAACAAGTATATTCATTAGATCAGGGGTCTCCAACCCCCAGTCAGTGGACCAGTACTGGGCCACGGCACACCAGCAACCGGTCCACACAAACAAGCAAAGCCCCATCCGTGGGATGCAGGCAGCACACAAAACCACGCCCCCTCCGGTCCACAGAAAAACCTCTCTCCACGGAACCGGTCCCTGGTGCCCATAAAGTTGGGGACCTCTGCATTAGATGACTTTCTGAACTATTTACTTGGCACTAAAAAGAAGGATCAAAATTGTATTTTTTAAAAAAGATGGATCATTTTAGTCATATTTCATTCCCAAATAAAATCTTATTTTATTTATTTATAAATCTTAGGACAATTCATATAATAATGAATATATGAATTTCAGACAGTCAGGTAAGCATGCCACTTGCACAAAATGTCACAACTACAGACTCCTGCCCACTGATCTTCATTCTTGTATTCTTAGCACTCCACCAAGTTGGTAAATTTCTCTCTTGACTTAGAGCAGACATGTCAAACTCGCAACATCACGTGATGTCACACAATGTATCAGAACTTTTTCCCCATTGCTGGCAATGGGGTGGGCAGTTTGACACCCCTGACTTAGAGGGACATTTGTTAGAGGGCTCCTCTTGAAGGCCTTCAAGTGGAGGGTACTTTTCTTTTTAGCTATATTTTTATGGTTATTATGAGCTACTTAGAGTCATCATGTCAGACATGTGGCCAAATAAATCCTGTAAGTAAATGAGTAAATAAACATCATGCATAAATAAGCATATAAAAATGTCTTTTACTGAATAGATGTGTTCTCCTTTGTTTTAGCAGCAGATAAAATATATAGATTGTTTTGTTCCCTACGGGAATGAAGGCAGGATCCAAGCATATTAAAACTGCATGCAATATGCTGATACTGTAATTACTGATTTAGTCAAATCTAATTGTTAATCCTGCACAACTGGGGAAAATTGAAGTGAATCATTGCCAGGCTATGGTAACATTTACAGGCACCACCCAACATTTTTACTGCTTTTGGAGATATGGGATGGCAAGGTTATTTTCTTGCCCAAGTCTTTCTGTATGACTTGCCTATTTCTATGGCATTGTTATATTATTCTGCTATCTTACAACTGCTACCCAGACAATTTAGAGACTGTTTTGTTAGCCTTTTATCATCCTTGCTAAAGGGACAGCTTCAAGAATGTTTTGTGGTAAAACTCCTAAAAGTATCCCACTGAAATTTTAAAGTTGTCTAAACTTGCCCCAAAAGGAAGACAGCTTCAGGCATTTTGTGGTTTTCCCATTATAACCTACGCAGACAAATTCTTTTTAATAGAATCTCAAATATCAAAATAGTTCAAATCAAATTGGCTTGCTATTGAATTTTGGATCACAAATTTGAATCAAATCACAGCTTCTTCATGTGTCCTTGTCAAATCTGATCAAGCTTGCTTTACATAGGAAAGTAGAATACATGTGACAGGAAAACATGAACTCTTAAAAAAAAAAACTAATTTGAAGAGTAAGTTTGTTTTTCATACCTCTTCTAAAGGGCTTTAATTGCAGAGATATGGTCTACTGCCTAGAACCTTTGAAAACAGGCAAGTCATCATGTCAAATCAAGCATTTTAATCGGAGGGTTTCAAACTGTGATTCAATATTCTTAAAATACTGGAGTACATTAGACATACAATGAATGACTCAAAATTGGAAACTGACAAAATGCATTCTGAAACAAATGACTTGAATTATCTACTATATATCTCAAAGAGTCTTCTTTTTCATACTCTTACAGTTAGAAGAGATTTTTGTGAAGGCAATTAAAGCAAATCTACTCCTGTAGCTGAAGAAATTTCAGAGACGTTTCACCAGAAGAAAAGTCTAGGAACTAGGAATGTTCGCTCCCATTCCTTTCTCAATCTATTTATTTGTTATTACAGATAGTCCTTGACTTACAATTACAACTGAGCCCAAAATTTCCATTACTAAGCAAGACAGTTGTTAAGTGAGTTTTACCCCATTTTACAACTTTCTTGCTGCAGTTGTTAAGTGAATCACTACAGTTGTTAAGTTAGCATCATGGTTGTTAAGTGAATCTGGCTTCCCCATTGCCTTTGCTTGTCAGAGGGTCACAAAAAGTGATCACATAACCCTGGGAGACTGCAACCATCATAAATACAAGTCAGTGACATGAGGTAATATGACAGCAGTGTTCCAATAACTCAGGGGTTGTCACAAAGAAGAGGGAGTCAAGCTATTCTTCAAAGCAGGACAAGAAGCAATGGAGGGAAACTAATCAAGGAGAGGAGCAATTTAGAACTAAGGAGAAATTTCCTGACAGAACAATTAATCAGTGGAACAACCTGCCTCCAGAAGTTGTGAATGCTCCAACACTGGAAGTTTTTAAAAAGGGATTGGACAACCACTTATCTGAAATGGCATAGGGTCTCCTGCCTGAGCAGGGGGTTGGATTAGAAGACATCCAAGTTAGAATACCTTCCAACTCTGTTATTCAGTTGCCAAGCGTCTGAATTTTGATCATGTGACCATGGGGATGCTGCAACTATCATGTAAAAAAAGGTTATAAGTCATTTTTTCCAGTGCGATTGTAACTTTGAATGGTCACTAAATAATTGGTTGTAAGTCAAGGACTACTTGTAAGAGGTAAGTCTAATGAAGCAGGGCAAATGCCAAAACACCGTTATGATAGACATGCTATTTGCTACATTTGCTTAACTATGGATTGTGTGGCCTTAAAAATATGAATTACTATAAATACATTAAGTACATTAAAATATAAATACATTAAATACATTAAAACTGAATAAACCATAATATCCTTAAATCATAGTTCCATTATTACTTTGCTCTGCCCCATGAAATCAATGTTGTATTCTTACCAGAACATGAAGAGAAAATTTTGTATTAGAAAGTTTGTGCCAAAACCACATGATTTAAAATGGAAGTTGTGCTATTAAATTTTCATACCAAGCTTTATAAACTAGTTCTAACAAAGATAGTTAAGAAATCTATCAAGATAAAATCCCTTGTGTCATTATTACCTGTGTTTTCCCAAAACTAAGACAGGGTCTTATTTCATTTTTTTTTTTTTTTTTGCCTCCAAAAGAGGCACCAGGTCTTATTTTGGGGGGAGTCTTATTCACTTTCGACATCTACAGTCCCATCCAGCAAGTTCACTTCTTCTGGAGCCGAAGGAGCAGCTTCATTCTGCAGCTGCATTTCAGCCTGCATTTGGCAATCAGGCCTTTCCTGACAGCCTATGCAGCTGAGTACTGAACTACGGATTCAATTCATAGCTCGGTCCTGGGCTGCAGAGGTCTTGCAGAACCAAGCTACGGACAGGCCTTCCGGAAAGGCCTGCGACTGAAGAATGAAGGTCTGGCTGCAGAAGAGCTGGGCCAGTGAGGAGAGGCCTGGCTGCAAGGTAAGTAGGTGTGGGGCGCGTGGGGCAGATCCACACACCCACCCCAGCTTGATTTTTAGGTGTGTGCCTCGCCCCAAAATTAGGAGTTATTTTTGGGATAGGGCTTATATTAGGCCCACCCAAAAAAAAATCAAACTAGGGCTTATTTTTGGGATAGGCCTTAGTTTCAGGTGAAACATGGTACACGGAATTTAGTTGATTTTCTTCTAGACATAATTCTTAGACCACACTATATAAATAATCCATATGTAAAACCAGAAGATTTTAGGCCTCATTTAAGCACAAAAGCTGGCTGGTTGACTTTGGCTGGTCACTTTTCTCTTATTTCAACCTCCCTCATAGGGTTCTTGTTATGAAGAAAATAGACAGGAGTATTAGGTATGTTCGTCATCATGGGTTACATATAACAAATGCAGGATATCTAATCTAAATCTGATAACAATATTGAATAAAATCACAACCAGTCAATTGCAAAAGGCAGCTTTACTTGGAATAGTTTACAATTTGCAACATCATCTTTAATACCATTGAACAGCAACATCTGCCTAACTCAGGTCCTTGGGACGGTGTCAATAGATCGACAAAAATGCCAAATCTAGCCTAAATATATGGCTTAATATGCAACAAACAATAATAATAAATACAAACTTGGTTCTACATAAAATAAGATTTTGGAGAATAAAATTTCACTTTAAACAGCTTTAAGCCTGTAGAACCTCAAAAGAACAGTACTTTTGTAACTGTTTAACTACAATATAATAAGTAATTTCTAGAGTACTCTAGGATCTTAAGCACAAGAGCACCACTTATTTCCTATTGTTGCAAAAATTCTGAATAACCTTATACTGTACCGTTACAAAATTTCCTCAACGTATACTGCACAGATTACAGTTCAGGAAATCTGAGCAAATTCCAGTTTCTTAACATTTCCCCAGTGCTAACTACTCCTAGGCCAGTGGTTCTCAACCTATGGGTCGGGACCCCATTTGGGGTCGAACAACCATTTCACGGGGGTCGCCAAACAAGGCTGTCTGCCATTTTTTCCCCCTTTTCTTTGGCCATGCCCCTGGCACCCGGTGATGTATAAGTGGTTGGGGGTCACCACAACATGGGGAATTGTATTATGGGATCGCGGCATTAGAAAGGTTGAGAACCACTGTCCTAGGCCAACTGTTGGCCACAGCACATTTTCTGGAATTTCTGATTTCTAGAAGTGAATGGATTTGGCATATTAATACAAAAGGAAATAATAAAAATAAAATTGACATCACGCTGTGTGAAACTATAAAACATAACCTTGCAATTTGTATACAATTCCACAGAACTATGCAAAGCTACAAAAGAGTACATGCAGTTGCATAACAAGCTTTCTTACTGAAACACTGAAATTTAGGGTTTGTTTAAAAAAAAAAAAAAGATCTTACCACTTCTGGAAGCAACTTAGTTGCAAGGTCATGGATGGCTTTGATCACTATACATAAAGAGGACAGAAGAAATATCACGCCCAAGATGACACAAGCTCTGTAAAGAAAGAAAGATTTTTGGAAACTTTTATGCCCTGCTGTTTAATGAAAACAAGGGACTAAATAATAAGCAGCATATTTATACAGTAAACATGTTTAAAGAATTAATACTCCACACAACACACAACAACATTCAAGAGCAGGACATGAAAACGAAATCATTGCAAGCAGTCCTTGGAATTACCAAGTTGCACAGCAACTCACTGGATATATTATAGATAGACAGTACACTTCCCATTGTTGTCTATCTCTGATGCCTTATCGTCAGTAGAGCAAACATATTTGGCAAGTGGTGTGGGAAGGAAAGGTAATGGGGGAATAAGAATGGAAATCTGTTTTAACTTCAACTAAAATCTATGGACTGCCTGAAAAGTCAGGTTCAGCTCTCGAGTCATTGTATGGAAAAATGCTCATCAACTTTCCAGGAATAAAGGTTACAAAAAGAGCCCATAGCTCTTCAAAGGCTTTCAGAATTCAAAATTTCAGAAATTTTTTTGCCCCATCCTTCCACTTGCCTTAAATTTTACATTTGCATTCTTTTACTTTTTCCAACTTACTATATCATGTGTAGTCATTTGTTTCTACTTCACCATTTACATTGTATGTCCAAAGTACGCACGTCCATCTATTCAAGGGACCAGTACGTTTTTGTTCGTTAAAGCTGGCTGGTTCTTCATGAATTTCATAATATTTTTACTGACTCCAAACACATAATAAAAAAAAGTTCTTGTTCAATTTCACAGTGAGACATCACTACTGGAAAAAACATTGCTTTAATTATTCTGATCTTTGTTCTCGATGGATTTTCCTTTTTTTAAAAGTTCTTGTCAAAGTTCATGATTATTTTCCTGTTATTTCTGTTATTGCTTTGGAATGTCAAGTCAGTTTGCAGTAAATCTGCCCCCACCTTACCATGTATGAGGATGTCAGTCTGGCATCTTCATAACCAAGACCTGGGTTCCTCTCTTGGAAATGTGCCCACCCAAGGTTCAGATCTTATATAGGCCATAGTTCAGGCTTTAGCTGCAAATATCTTTATTTTTTTTAATTTAAATTTGCTATCAATAACTCATGATTGTTTCTGTAGTCAGTATTGGGATGTAAAATAACCTGAACTGAACTACAGTGCTCCATCTTTCATTATGTATTTTTTTTTATTCTGATGTTGCCCATTTGATTATGTCCTGTGCTATACATTTATGCTGCTTCAAACAAGTGATGCAATAAATATGTTTACAAAACTTAATATGATTATTTTACATAACTGAAATCTTCCAGTAATTCAGGATTCCTCTGTTTATCCAGTTTCTGCATTCCAAATCCCCATCAACTTCTTTCTTTATGCTGCATTTAGCTTTTCTTATATTTCGTCATAACATTTCTCAGTTGCTTTCACTAAAGCATCTGTGGTTGGCTTGTGCATTTGTATGACACTGATGTCACTGGATATCATGAATTAAATCTAATAAACACGATCCCATTGTTCATTGATTTCTAGCTGAGCACACAGCTTTTTGAGGATCATCAATATTCTATTCCTTGTTCCGTTGTATGGACTCATGTTCTGAATTGTAGATCATGTAAGATGGTAACCGGTTTAAAGTGGCCATTTCTATGAGCTTGATTCATAGTCTTAAGACATCCAGTTTGAGACACTTAGTTTTTGCTTTAAAAATATTCCTTAGTTCTAGCTTTTCACATTTCATGATCAAGTTGTGCATGTCATTGTAAAGCCAAAAACTTCTCTTTCAGTCCTGTCTCCATCAGTTACCAGAATTCCTTGCAGCTGATTGTATTATTACTTCCACATCTATTCACAGAAGTTCACTGCTCTTTCCACATCTCTTCCTCTAAGCTTATATCCCATAACTGCAACAAGAATTACAAACCTCAATAGTTTATTTAGCCTCCATTTGAGAGAGGATGCCCTGAAGCTAAACCTTTCACAAATCCAAATTGGTCCTCACAATAGCATGTTTAACACTTTCACATTGCTTTATATTTCCTTTTTTTTTTTTTACCAATTCAGCATCATTACTTCATTGACCACAGTTCGCATTGAAGTAACCTAGTATGATAGACAAAATCAAAATTCTAGCTTGGAATAATAAGAATAAGAATTTTGCTGACTATGTTACTGGAAAGCCAGAAAAGGCTATTGTAATATCAGCACTGCCAATATGTGAATTCCCATTTGACTTGAGGTGATGGGAAACAGGCTTTGCATGATATAGACAATTATTCTACAAACATTCATTCAACTGGCTATGAATTACTGAAATAAGTTTTATCCTGAAATATTATCTGTAGTCTTATTTTTTCTGTAAGTAGAATTTAGAATATTTCATCTATCAATGAAAAACAATTGCCTGCCCAAGATCATCCATACCTAAGTAGCAATTTTAATATAGCCTTTCAATATCTCAGCACTACAGATCCACTAGTGTTTAAAGTATATTGCATTAAATTGGTGTGAAATCTTTGATCCATCACATAGAGATGTTTTAGAAACTCAAGCCTTTCTGCATAAAACATAACCCTGTATGCATTTCTAAATAAAAAACAGATGTTATTTGAGAACTCATTTAAAAAGCTAACTAGCACTAGATAGGAGAGAAAGCATAATAGCAGAGCCTTTAAAATTATTTTTCTGAGAAACTAATATTGCTGAATTACCAGCAGTGGAAGGCAACCCAGAGTTGTCATTCAAATGTATCTGAAAGGTCATATTTGGCTTTAACAGCTAAAACAGATAATGTAAACCAGACATGTCAAACACAAGGCCCGGCGGCCAGATGCGGCCCGCAAAGTGGTTTCATGTGACCCGCGAAGCCGTCCTGGAAACAGTGAGGGAACGGCCCTCTGCTGCCTTGGCCCTGGTCCAGGCCACCCGGGAGCCAATGTACAATTTTGTGGTGACCATCTACGTTGAAACACATTCAGTCTTAGCTCCACAAGGCTGTCTGGAAACAGTGAGGAACCAGCCCTTGCTGTGTCAACCCTGCCCCCTGGGTGCATGCTTGGGAGGTGTCACCCTTTGTGAGGAATGAAGAAATGTACCATCATCTGGAAATGGCCAGCAAATGGCCCTCGTCTACTTCACATATCCAGTGCGAACGATGTAGAGCTGGCCATGCCCACTGAATAGGCCACACCCACTCCATCCACACCCACCCAGCAGGCTGCACCCACCCTGGCCACACCCATCCGGCCCCCCGAGAGCAACCGCAATGCAGATGTGGCCCTCAATGAAATTGAGTTTGACAACCCTGATGTAAACTGATTCTGTATCTACCCAAAGAAAAATAAACCACAGATAAGAAAAACTCTACAGTTTAGATAGAACATATATAGATAGTCCTCAACTTACAACAGTTCATTTAGTGACTGTTCAAAGTTACAACAGAACTGAACAAAGGGGATTATGAGGATTTTTCACACTTACCATTGTTGCAGCATCCCTACAGTCACGTGATCAAAATTCAGATGCTTGGCAACTGGCTCCTATTTATGACGTGATCCCTTTTTGCAACCTTCTGACAAGCAAAGTCAACGGGGAAGCCAGGTTCACTTAATGACCATGTGTCTAACTTAACAACTGCAGTGATTCCCTTAACAATTGTGGCAAGCAAGCTCATAAAATGGGGCAAATTTTCATTTAACAACGCTCTGACTTAGCAATGGAAAATATGGGCTCAGTTGTGGTCAAAAGTCGAGGCCTCTGTGTTGTTTCCTTAACTCTGAAATCCTTAATCCACCTACTTATTTTTAGTTCCAGGCAGTAATATAAGAAAAATGATAGATATAAACACCTATATTTTAAACTGTACATCAATTAATCATATGCAAAGTATGGCATCCTTGTTATAAAAATTTGAACTGCCCATATTTTAGTAACAAACCATAAAACATATGATCTGCTGTCGTAACATATTTCTCAGCTTTACTTTTATATGTAAAAAGATCTGTTTAGAAATTGAATAGAAATAGTATTTTTTTTCCAGTATTGACTCTGCTCAAACAATACAGGCAACACTTGTGAATAGGTGATGATTCAGCGCACAAGAAAGCCCTCACATATAAATACAGGCTTCTCACAGCAGAAAATCTGTATTCAGAAATTATTTCCCCAATGGTTTCACCCTGGGCAAATTATAGGGAATGTATTTCTCACAGCTTCTTAACTGTTGATAACAAATGAAAGCATCACTTGAACTGGATATTTACTCAGCCATTTTAAATAACATGAACTTGACTCCCTAATGAGATTATCTAAGGCTATCCTCAATTAAAAAAAAAATTAAATTAGGGTTAAGTTCGGTTTCCAATGGACAGGCAAAGTAATTCACTATGAATTATTTATCTTTAAGCAAATAGCTCCTGTACCTCCACATTATTATGATCACTACAGAAATATATCCTTCCCAGGACCAGAAACATTACTATCAATTTAGAAACAGTAATGTTTTTCTTATATTGGGGTGCAATTAAACTTGTAACTTTAATGAACCTATTTGTCTTAATTGTCTACCAGAAATATAACATTTTAGCTACAGTATATTAATCAACTGCCAAATTTAGGCAGTACAGATAATCCTCAACTTAGAACAGTTCATTTAGTGACCACTGAAAGCTACAACAGCACTGAAAAATGTGACTTATGACCATTTTTCAGTTACAACCTTGGCAGCATCCTCATGATCATGTGATCAAAATTCAGACATTTGGCCACTGGTTCATATTTATGATGGCTGCAGTGTCCCCGGGGGTCATGTGATGACCCTTTGCAACCTTCTGACAAGCAAAATCAATAGGGAAGCCAGGTTCACTTAACAACTGGGTTACTAACTTATCAATTTTGGCAAGAAAGGTTGTAAAGAGGGGCAAAATTCACTTAACAAATGTCTTAAGAACAGAAATTTTGAGCTCAATTGTGGTCGTAAGTCAACAATTACCTATATAAGCTTAATGGAATCAGGAGCCACAGTATTGTCTCCT